AGATTTCATTGACTAAACTGCATAAACCTTGTAAAACTGTATAATACATGTAAAAAATGTATAGAGCGCAATTGGTCTATCGACCCTAACATTTTTAGAGCGCAATTGGTCTATMGAYCCTAAAATTTTTAGAGCGCAATTGGTATATCGACCCTTAAATGTTTAGAGCGCAATTGGTATATGAAAAGGTAATTTTAAGCGCAATTGGTGAACTCCCGTTAGTTCATCATCAAAACTAAAGCAGTGGATCACATACGAGTAATTTCGCGTTGTATCGCTTTGTTGATATTACCGGATAACTATATATAAAATTATGTTTAAAATAATTTCTGACCCGCTTACTTATAGGTACCTAAATTTATAATAATATCATACCCAGAATCACATTTTCAAGTATAAAATCAATGTATAAGATATTGACTTAGAATTTTTAACTCTTGATGTATTGTTTCGTATTTATCATTTTGATTAGATTTCCTAATATAGATACCAATTATACTGTATTGGATTTTGCTAACTACTAGATATACTAATTTTTCTAAGACTACAAAGTATTAAAAACAAAGAAAAACGATATGAAAGTATGGTTTGAAAAAAAAATTTATGACACGCCCAAGTGTCGTACATCAAATACGGACTTACTTCGTGTAGGTACCACGTAATCCGTTGTCAAACCGTTTAAGACGTGCACTCTGTGGATTTATTCCGGATTGGCCTTAATTAAATCAATTTTGTCATCTCAACAACTATGTAGACCTTTTCGTTTTTACTTTCATACGAGTTAAGTGACAACGTGTTATTCGAATTTTCTACAGAATAATTTTAAAACAAATTTTAAATTGCGACAATATAAATACATAAATACTTACCGTTGTGTGTAATATTTTTAAATTTAAAATTATAAAAAATAAAAACAAATTGTTAAAAAGCACACGCTGAGAAGAGTCAGTAATATGAAACTATTATTAAACATTAAATATTATATTAAGTAACGAAAAATTGTAATGTATAGGTACATTAAATATTATTCAATAATTCTTACAGAAATTAAAAAATTGTATATTCGTTCGCTACCTAAATAAATTATACTTTAATGTTTCTATACTTTGATGGAAAAATCTTATAATTTAAATTTTTTTCATATCTTGGATTGCTTGAAACAAGAGTACCACTTAATTCACCTTAAACTTAAAAAAAAAAAAATGTATTTCTATAAAAAACTTTAATATTACCTAGGTATTTATTTATTTAATCGAGTAACCTAACCTAACCAGTAACCACGTATGGTACAAATTAAACTAATTTATACTTATTATACCCTAACACAATCATTCGCATAAGGATATAATTAAATACCGATCACACTATAATTATACTTTTAAAACGAATACAAAAATACAATAATATGTTAAATAATTACATTCCAAATCATGTATATACATATATATATATTAGATACATTCGAGATGTGAGTAACAAAATTGAATAGGTATTAAAAATATTATAACATTATAATATATAGTATACACCTAACACTTACATAGCGTTATCTCGCATTTATTTATAACGAGAATTTTTAATATAATATTATCATCTATATACGTAATAGGTTTATAGGTCCGTATATAATAACTGTATATCAATATTATCGAGTATTATTTACAAAAGTTATCTCTCACTAATTAAATAACATATGTTAAACCTATATAATATGTGTTAACAGTAGGTAATACATGTTTAATATCTAATTTAATATGATTATTACCAGATCAATACGTTGGTTTTGGGCAATCGATCTTCATCAAAATCATAGATATTATATTATATAGTGCTGATAGTTTTTACACCGAAAAGATATGTGCACAATGACGGTGCACTTAAAACGATATTCGCTTTAATTTACAGGAGAAAAATTCGTTTATATCCTTGGTTTTTTTTGAAGTCATTGTTTCAAACGTAGAGCTTCTGAAGGATTTACGACTACTAAAGATTTACTGGAAGCTTCGCCTGCAATCTGTAACAGTAAAAAATCCATTTTTTAATAACATTTCAAGTACTTGGCATGTAACGTAGTGTCATGTATATTGTATATTATATACTATAATATGCTTGTGAAATCATGTCAATAATAGTTTTATGATTGCAACTTCATTTTTATCACTATTTTATATCTTTATACGTCAAAAGTGTATAATATTATGAGAGTTTAAAAAGTCTCTTTTTTCCATCGTTGTATTATAATCATGGCGAACATAATGTGCTTAAAGTCTTTGCAGGTGTTGCTAGCGAAAAACGTAAGAAGTTTAAAAAATAAAAATAAAAAAGGTACAAAAAAACTTTTATTATAATAATAACGGGATTCGTGACAAACAACAACTTCAACTCGCTGTTGTGTGTTAACCTATTTGCACCTGTTGAACGTCCGTCTAAATCTCATTCGATGGTTTTTTTCTTTGTTCGCTTTAGTTATACCACCTGTTATCTTCTTGAGGTAGCATTATAGACATTTATAATTTTGTATATTTCTACTTAATTTGCTCAAACTATATAGGTACGCAGGTACAGAAATAATATTATGCAGTTGCCGTGGTCATATAGAAGGTATATATGCATATACCTATAAAATATTCATAATCATTTACGTCAATGAACTTTATGATGAGCAAATACTAAATACACCTGCACCATAAAATTTATGCATCAATACAATAAGCTGATAAATCAATATTTTATTTCATTATTGCCATGTACAATATAATTTATATACATAACCATATGATTAAAATGCGGGGAAATAGGAACACGAGCAGAGTATTTGGTTATGCATTTATTTTTACTATTTTACAGCGCATGCGTCATATTAATAGTCTACGTACCTATACTTATTGGTACTTGCATATTGTATTTTTATCCAAACATTTTAAACATCTATTTTCAAATACATAATATGCATAACTATTAATTTACTTTGTGGATGAAATTATTAATTATGTTTACCGATGCGCATGGGTATAGATACAAAAGTATATTACAATATTAATATTCGTGCATCTAATAATCTACCTCCAAACGATAGTACGAACCTAAGTGGGTATATTTATAATTACTACAACATCGAGCAATGATGATGTACAATACCATTAATCATTGTTACTTACATAGACGAATAATTTCATTATTGCTGTTTGTAATCGTCAACATTTTGGTCTGAAAATGTGCAGGAGATACTGCATATAGCATAACCTAATTTCTAACGATGGAAATAAGTTAGATATTCGTATAAATGAACTGTTCAAAATTCACTCACGTTATGATAAGGTTATATTGTTGTGTGTGTATAATCTGTTATTTCATGGGTTGACCTCTTTCCTCACATTACAACTTAATTTATCATGGATTTTACCAGAAGGCTGATTACACAATAGATAACCTTTTTGTACAGAGTTCCAACACAAATATCGTAAAATATAATACTGTGGTACGGTGGTTGAACGCAGTCACTAACGTTTTCTGAGATCAAGTATCGGTCGATGAGACTAGTTCTCGGGATGGGTACCCAAACCGTTCATGGTTCACTGTGATTTTACAAATGAATGTTGATTAAAACAAATATTAACGATATAAGATCAATCAATAAAGTAAGTTTCGAAATTCAAAATCAAAACTATAATAACTATTAACCATGATATGCATTGATATGTATATCCGTCAAAGTGAGTTTACTTTTCATGGTTGTATTTTTGTCATTGAAATTAACAAAAGCTAATGATATACTATGATAAAATTATCATAGTCTACGTCCTACGGGCTACGAGACATACTAATAATGTCATTGACTCGTAAATTAAAATTGTAAATCGTATATAACTCGAAATGTTTTTGTGTTTGCTCACGATATGGCATTCTATAGTTGTGGTACTATTACATCAACGATAAATCAATATCGTCACAAAAAAATATGAATCACCGTATATTAACAGATACAATTGAGTGACGTTTTGAATAAGATTTGTTATATTAAACTATTTTAAAAATTACCTCGGTGGCGTGGTGTTCAGCATACATGTAAAATATATAAGAAATTGGTTGATAATTTACTCGACATTTACATCTATTATTTCGAAAATTATACACGTTTTTTAAATATTTTGTTTTGCATGATTTTAATTTATTTCAAAACAATATTTTTGAAAATAAATTTTTTAATTAGAACCACAAACCAACACTAAATCAAAAACTTTTGGAATTACTTGTATCCCGTCGATTTGTTTAAGATAAATCATATCATTATTTGGTAGGTACTACAAGTTGTTGTATTAATCTAAATTGGGAATGAGGTTTAACAGTTATACGAAAACGAGTCATAACTTTGCAGGTAAAAATTTATATAAGATGGTTTTCACGTTTTTCGTTGTATACGTAAACGAGTTGTCAGTTTACAGATAAAAAATTGTGCAATGTGCACAAACTAGTATCACTGCTACTATATAACCACGGATTAAGTATATTTAATCAATGCTATAGGTAACCTATAACCCAGCGGTTCCCAAACTGTGCACCGCGATAGGGCCTAGGGGCACCATCACGAGCACATTCCAAGGGTACCGTGGTCTACGGCTCATGATAAATAATTTAAAAGGTATACCTATGGAATTTATTTTCGAAAATTCGTTATTAATGACTAATGAGTATTGTTTTGACCTGTATTCACGGCAGAGAATTTCATGGCTATATTTGGTCCAACAAAGGGCACCGCGAAAAAAAAGTTTGGAAACTGCTACTACATAATATAACTTATATTCAGCATATTATATACAACGAGCAATACACATGTCACGTAGTATTATCATCGTAATCGTCACAAATTTACAATTACCTAACGTACATATAGTGTCTTATACAACGACGATGACAAAAGGTATAATACAAATGATAACAATAATATTAGCTCACCGCAATGTCCTCGACGTTCGGAAATCGGTTCGACGCCGTCGCCTCACCCGTTTTGTACGAACCCCGGCCCAGGCTGTCGATCAGGTCCCGTCCGCGGGGTCCATGTTTTTTTTCGAACGCCTCCCGAAATTTGGCCCCGTCACTGGGCTTGAACACTATATTCCGCATGACCGGATGTACGGCCGGTTGTCCATAAGCCCTGGCCATGAGGAAACCGAAAGGCGTGAGCCCTTCGGCCGGAACCGCTTCGGTACCGCTTTGCGACATCATCAACACGGCTACCGCCGTCTGCAGCAATGCCTATACAAAGTGATATCAAATTATATAACATAATATTTTCCAATGGGCTATGATAAGGAAGGTACAGTGATTAAAAAACGAAGTCCGCGTGACCGCGTTACACTGCAAGCCTGCACAGGGGCGCACCCAGGATTTTTTTTTTTTTT